GGGGGGTTGTTACTTTGTGAGGGTGAAAAGGGTAACTATTGCATTGTTCTGTACACCTGAAACTAACAATAAATAAATAAAAATAAAAAAGAAAAAAAAAGAAAATACTTAGGTACACTAAGAACAAAGATGTTAAGTGTTGTGAAGATTTGTATGACCAAGCCATTGAATTTTTAAACTTTAATTTATATACCTTAAAAGAATATGCATGTAATTCAAATCTAATAATCATGTGCTTATGTATTCGTAATAACTAAAAGTTCCATGTTTTCAAAAAGTTAAAGTACAGACTTATATCAGTCAAGAGAGTCAGATAAATGTATCTTCAGCCCTATTAACTTGGTTACATGGAATACCTCGTGCATGGATGCTGTTAATAAAGGCTATTAATTTATTTTGTAAAAACAGACATACACACTGAACCAGCTCGCCTCTCTGTTCCACAGCCTCTTCTAGCTTAAATTCTGACTCCAGCGTCCCGCTGAAGCAAGCATCTGCTCTCTGAGTAGGTGACAGACAGGGCACAGATGGGCAGGGGTGAACATCTGCTACACTGGGCTGGCTGTTAACCAATGAGACAGCCTGAAGGGAGGGCTCTGCCTACCAGGGGCAAGTCAACAGACTGGCTCCCTCTTGGATGCAGACTCAAAAATGAGAGACCTGATCAATCAGGAGTGAGTGGAGAGTGAAGCAGGCCAAAAAGAGAGGCAGATAACATAAGACAAAGCCTAGTAAAGCATAAAAAAGAGATGGAAGAGTGTGGCTGGTCGCTTGAGTAGCTAGGAAGCCTGACATTTTTAAATTTCAATCTGAAATGTGTGTATTTTTCTGTAAATTCCGTTCTGAAGGGAGAGGGCAGATCATCTCATATCCTTGCAACCCAAGTAGCACAAAAGCAGAGTGATCAAAATTTAATTAACTTTCAAATATACTAGTAAATATTATCTGCAAGTATCATCATTTCTCGTTTGACTAAACTTCTGGAAGATAAAATATTTCACTCCTGTTTCATTTTTAGTGCAACCTACTTCGGTTGCTTGGCAAAACTGAGCCTTGGAGACTTGCACCCGTCATTATTTTGGCCTTCTCACACACCCTAGGTCTCAAAAAAAAAAAAAAGGCCTTTCAAAAGCTATTGAATCAATCACAGCACATTCATTTCACTTGCCTGTAAATATTTTTCATCTGTATCTTGTGCTATCTTCGGTAGTAATTACAGTTCTAATGTTCCGAATCAGACTTCCAGGTTACACATAAGTCACCATGCAGGTGAGTCGGCAGTTCTAAATCCTGCTGCTAGGTCACCAAGTCTACACCTGTACCTCCCAGACCACAGCATCTAAGATACACTGAGGCCCTGACTGCATTGCCGCTGACACAGGGGGTTGCCACCGGAACTAACTGACCCCAGTCCAACTTGAAGCCACAACATGGGTCTTTACTTCTTTCCCTATGGATGGTTTTTCAAGCTTGAAATTCTTTTGGATTTCCTAAGAATTTTTATTGCAAGCAACAAGAGAAATCACTAAAAGATAAAAAGCCAAAAATATCCAGAAATGTTACAGTACAAAGCCTTAAAAAGGAAATAATCCTAGATCTCAGGTATATTCCCTCCTGCTCTCTTTAAGTCAAGTCTCTCGATTTCTTGGTTAAAGTTGGGTGGGGAAGAGAGAAAAATCCTGAAACCATTAATGTATTAGCCACTGTGCTAAGTCCATGTATATATATTCTTATTTAATCCTAACTACTCTAGAAGTATTGGGGCTGTTGGAAAAGTCATGACGTATTTTTTCTATGTTTTTCATTGCAAAAATGCATCATGACTTTTCCAACAACCCAATAGAAAATACCATTAAGTTTGCAAGAGAGCTCAGAGAATTAAAGTAACTTGCACACAGTAAGGAAGAAATACAGAATTCAAGCCCAGAAGTACAGTATTCAAAATCAACAAGAGTCTAAACTTTGCTTTTTCCCTGGTGGTACATTTTCCATTTATGAGTAAAACTGTATTGTCTTTAGTTGTTCTGTATCCATTTTCACTAGTATCTTCCTTTGTTCTATTGGGTCAAACCTGGAAGTTCCTGGCCATACTGCACACACGGGAAACCATGGGGAAGTTTCATGCTGGCAGAAGAGTTTAGTTAGACCTGCACAGCACCTTTAAAAGATGTGACTCAATGCCTTCTCCAGCTGCCCCAACTATTTACTGCCTTTTACAAGCCTTTGCTCATTTCAGTTACCCACTGAGTTTTAAAAGCAGATCACTGTAAACCATGTTCTTCCTCTACCCCAACCATGAGATCAAGACTAATGGCTACATACTAGTCCAGGAAAAAAAGGCAGTTCCTACACAGTCTTGGTTTTCCTCATGAAATTGGCCAAAGGGCATTTTATCATAGTCCTCTAAATACGCCATTGCTACAATAAAGTAGCAAATGTTGAGCAAGTTAAAAACAATTTTGATATTTCATATAAATAACTTTAAAAATTCTCACCTAGCCCCAGACCCACAAATTCGTCCGGAGCCTGATCTTTTGTTCCAGTGAGAGATCCTTCTCGGCCTCGCACTGTTCCAGAAATGTACCGGGGTTTCACTCCAGTTCCTATAAGCTGTGCAAGCTCCAACTGACTGATGCACTTCAGAATCTTAATTACAAAAAGGGAAAATAAATTAATTCCTTAAAAATGTTCACAAAAATATTTAAATGTATGCAGCCAGGATTTAAATATAGGCTACATTATAAATCATTATAAAACGCTAAATGTACTCATCCCGAATGCACCAATTTACTTCCAAACACTTCAGCATGTTAGCGATAGAATATTTAGCATTAGCTCATTTTTTAAACCAAATTGCTAAGTTGAAAATAAAGAAAGTGCTTATACCTCATGCCATGAATTTCCTAAATAATTTCCATCTGTATGAGCCACTGTGATTAGTGTTTTTATTGTGTCAATGTTCTTCTGTTTCATTTCCGTAATCCCAGAGCTCACTGTCAGTAAGGTGAATCTCGCCAGCGCCTGGACATATGCATCTCTTTCCAGCTATAAAAATGAGAAATGTATGCTTTATATGGTTGTAAACATAACAGAGTGATCTCTAATTCCCTCATGACAAACTGTTTACTAGTTTAGTAAGTTTTTAACTGACAAGTCATGAGTTACATACAATTAACATCAAACTGCAGTTTTTTTATCGTAAGATGATGAATGAAGCAGAAAAGAATGAATTTCTAAAATCCAAAGGTGATAAGTCAAGATGAGGGTTTAGTGATAACAAATGAATTTATACAGTAAAAAACATTCACTGAGCACTTACTATGTTTCAAGTACTGTGTGGACTAGCAGGAACCTGATTTATAAATTTGCTCACTTTTTTCTCTATAACTAGGCTGTGCTTTTTAAGCCCTAATATTCATAATTAAATGTAAAAAAGGTTTAAAAAAACTGCTTTGGCTAAAATTTATTATGAGACAAAGCATATAAATTACTGTAACAGACTATCTTCATGAAAATCATGTACTAGATACTTGGTTCTCTTAAAGACAACTTATTCTTAGGCTTAGGCAAAGTTATAAAGTGACATAAAATATGAAAATATATATATGATTCAGTAAGTATGAACATACAACATATCTAAATAAGATATTCAGATTAACATAGAGGAATCAGTCTTGGAAAAATTGCAAACCAGTTATGAGGAGTTTTAGACTCATTGGTATAGAACTACCACTTTTGTCATAGCTTCTTGGAAACTTACACATTAAGATTCATTTAAATTCCATCATAAATTTGAAATCAGTTTTTCATAAGTCAGACATAAAAAGATAATTTACACTACGGTAATGGCATAAGTAATTTACATTTTTCAGACTGGCTACTAAGGCAAAATTCTTTGTTACCTGAATGCTGAAAATGCATGCAATTCTGATCGCACATCTTATACCTTCCAGGCAAAGAGAGGCTACTTCAGTATCATCACAATCCTGTAGACCCACACTAAACGCAGCCAGGAAAGGCGTCCAAGCCAACTAGGAGAATTAAAAATTTAAAATACATCATGGACATCAAGTGCTAATAAAAAATTATAATATTCCATTAATATTTCTCAAAGCTTTCAGACAATAAATGGTTGAGGAAGTTCTGGAAAAAGCAATGAGTTTATTGGCATAATTATTTGGAAAGCTTTTTTTTTTTTTTTAATTTATTGGGGTGACAATGGTGAGTAAAGTTACATAGGTTTCAGGTGTACAGTTTTATAATACATTATCTATATATCACATTGATTGTTCACCACGCAGAGTCAGCTCTCCTTCCATCACCATATATTTGATCTCTTTTACCCTCATCTCTAATCCCCTCCCCTTCCTTTCTTAGACAATATACAACGGTGCCTGGGCTTAAATAAATGGGGGAGCAAGATTATAAATTCAGTAGAAGACCTTAGGCATATTTTAAGCACAGCATTTTAAATTATTCACATCAATAAAAAAATGGGAAGTCAATATTCATAAATGATATTAGTTTTACCTAAATTCAGAACTTGTCTCTCTCTGAAAGTTTTGTCCCTTGCAATAGTTCATGGACTTTTTATTTCCAAGAAAATCCATTTACTTATTTTCTACTTGCAACAATTACATTATTCTCTTTTCTTTAAGCCTGCTCCCTAGACAGTATTTAGCCTTATCTTTTTTGTACTCAAATATTTTACATTGAGACATCAGTGTTACCTCTGGTTCCTACTTGGACAATACTTTAAAGTATATAGTTCAATAAAGTATTTTTTTATTACAAATGGTGAAAGCCAACACTAAATTTTACTATAAAAATTTAATACCTAGTGAAACTGTAAAACAACAAAATAAAAGAGCTACCTTTTGACTACTGAAAATCCTAATATCAAAACATGTATATATATTAGTATGTGCAAGTGTGTGGGTAGCTTTGATATGTCTGATGCGAGAGTATTTGCTTTTAATAAGTCATCATGAATTAAAACTATATAACCATATAGTCATACAGATGAAAAATGTTTATGCCAGTGTGCTACAGAAATGACAACTGAAATGTTTAAAAGATCTAAAAAGTTTTTAGCATTATGCAGGAAAGCAGAATTATCCAAAGCTTTGCCTGTAACATTAGTAAGTTTAGAAGTAAAAGTGTGTAATGAAAGTGTACAAAAGTACAAGGAGCATAAAACACAGTTCCTAACTTCTAGTCTTAGCTTTGCCACTTACTTAATCTCTCTGAACCCCTTTACTGCCGGGGCTACCACTGAAGAGACACTGCGGGCAACCTGTGAAGTGCAGTGCTTCCAAAATACAAAATACTACATCAAAGTAACAGCAGACACAAACTATTCTAAGAAACAGCACATCTATTTGGAAACCTGTAAATATTTTATACAAGTATAAATGGTCCTTATGCCATGAAAAAAATGTTTAAACTCCATTAGGAATCAAAGACAATGATTTCTCCAATCAAATTACACTAAATAATATCCAGGGGACAGTGAAATTGCCCACTCATAATTGTATAAACCTTGGTAGAAAACAATTTGGCAATATGTAAAAAGATTCTTAATGTTTATATCCTTAATATTATAATACATTCTAGGAATCTCTCACTCCTTTACCCAGTCAGTGCTTGTTTATTGAGCACTTACTACAAGCTAGATATTGGGAAAAGAGAACAGAACAGATGCAGTCCCTTGTGAAGCTTAAAGTCTAGTAAAGAGATATACTAGGCATATATATAATACATATATTAAAATTAAAAAATGTATAAATATAAATTGTTATAAATACAATGAAGGAAAAGCACAGCATGTCATGAAAAGGGACCTAACTTGGATTAGAGGGCAGAACTCTGATAAAGTAACATTTAAAATGCAAACTACTCAGGCAAAGAAGAAAAGTGCATTCTGGGCAAAGCATATAGCTTGTAAGAATGCTCTGAAGAGAAAATAACTTAGGACATTTTAGAAACGGAAAGAATGCCACTGTGACAGCAGCATAGTAAGAAACAGAAGAAATCTAGCAATGATGTTGGAAAGGCAGGTGGAGCCAGGCCACACGTGGCCTCCAGACCCTCCTGTTTCATCACAAAATCACGCAAAGTCAGTCAAGGGCCTCAGGGAAGAAGGTGACATTGCATTTTGTATTTTAAAAAGATCACTCTGGCCTCTGTAATGGATAAGAGGGCACAAAAGCAGACATAAGGACGCCAGCTAGGAGGATGTTACACTAATAAGAGTGAGAAATGAGGGTTTCTGAAGAGAAAAATGGCAGTGAGAGGACAGATTCCTACTTCTAAGGTAGAGGATGTTTAAATAAACCAGAACTCATCCAGAGAATAGATCATAAAGGCTATTGGTGAGTAACTTTTAATGATATGAGGAAATACTTATGTGAGAATCAGCAAGATACAAAATTCTATACATTGTATGATCACAACTGTAAAAAGTAATATATATAAACATATTAACAGTTTTCTTCTGAATAGCAGGATTATGGCTGGTTCCTTATTCTTTGTTTTTTTCTGTCTCCTCATAAAAAACATTTGAAAAAACAAAATAAGGGTATACAATTATTCAAAACAAAGAAGCTGTTTTATAAAATTTGTTTAATAAAGAAAAAATGTTTCTTATATTTCAACATCATTTTCTGTAATATTCTACAAGAGAAGGCCAGTTATATTCCACTATTCCTTCTAACATTATCGCCCTAGTCCTACCTCCTAGCCTGTAATTTTTCATGAACTTTTAGAAATATCATTATCGCACAGACCCTGAAGTAGGGGTAGAAATAATTCTAAGTTTTAGAGTAAAAGGAAACACAGAAATCGTGCAGTCATTTTTACTGTCCATACACGTGTAGTGAATGTCTGCATCGAGACTTGATACGACCTTTGGCCTCGGCAGCCATCTTACCACAACACTGCCTGGCGAACTGGTGTGTACTTGACCCATTTTCCCTTTTCAAACCTGTCTAGACTCCCCATCACCCACTAGAATCCTTATGATGCACTGTTTACTCATTCTGGAATTTGAAGAAAGGGTAGAAAAAAATAACTAGGAAAATGAAGGAATGGGAAAGCAAATTTTAAAGAACCAGGAAGTATCATTCTTACTAGATCAACCCATAACATAAATAATGCTCCCTTTAATTGCTTTCTCTATTTTCTGGGCTCCAGGCATACTCAGAACCCTCATATTAGTTCCTGGGCCAGAAGCACTGAAAGAAAGCAAGAGGCTCAAGATCACTTTGGAATTTCAGGTAACTGCAAAGGTTTAACTAGAACTCATTTAGAAAAAATCAGGCCAAGGATTAATGATCATTCTCTGAAATCTTTCAATTCTTAATTCTTTTTTTTTTTTTTTTTTTTTTT